GATGAATGGATATGCCAGCAGCAGGGCACAAGCCATGTGGCTGTTTTAACAGAAATCTAAGTGTCTTTTGATTTTTGCTGGAGGGGATGACGACAGCGGCAACAGTGGTGGTAGCAGCATAGAGCACAAGAACAAATGAGCATCCTGACAATTACAAATGGCCAGTGCAGAAGTGAGAGAAGTCGTCCGAGATCAGGTGTGGGGAGGCCCGGCTCCCCCTCCTGGTTTCTCTGTTCTTGGCAAATACTCTTCCCCCTTGGCTTTATCTTCTCAGCTTGCACCAAAGAAATCTTTATGGCTCAATATAAATAATGAGGACAACATTGATAATAATAATAGCTCTTCTTTGTTGAGTGCTCAAGTGCCAAGCACTTTTCATGAATTATTTACACTCCTTATAACAACCCTGTGAGGTAGACATTATTATGTTCCCTTTTAGTCAAGGAAATGGAGGCTCAGAGAGGTTAAGTGACTTGCCCAAGATTACACAGCGATAAATAGTTGCCCTTTGATTTGAATCTGGGTCTTCCTGACTCTGAAGGCTGTGCTCTCTTCACTTTGTCTCTACAACACAGCTGTTGTCCTGACTCCTTGTCAGGTTCTCGGCCCTCTGTCTGAACCCCGTACTTGGGCCTTTCATGCTGCAGCCAGGAAGCTCCTGAATTGCTTTCCCCTGGCCTTCCCGGGCGTGCACCACTTCTCTGTGTAGACGCTCAGCTGTCCAGACCTGGGACACGTACCACCCTCACCTATTTCTTGTCAGTCCACATCTTTGGATGCAGGGTTTCCTCACTTCACTCCCCTAAGTGTGCTGGCTGAGCCTGACCACTGAGGGACTGGCTTGACATTCCTGGACTCTGGATAACTTCCACCAGGTCCTTCCCTCTAGAAACCGCCTCACAAGTAGAGTCTTCTAAATCCTCCAGCTTGGCTCATGATTAGAGAGGAGTGTTTCCTGGATGTTCCTGGTACTAAAGTAATTAAACAAGGAGGCCATTAGACTCAGGCAGCTGTAATTCCTTGGTTTCCTATGTAAGCAAACCAAAACCTAAGCCAGAGTCAATGCACTCAAATCAGAGAAAATCAGACTCAAGAACCAGTCACAACTAGGCTTTCTCAAATAAGGAAACTGCTTAAGCTGTAGCCAATCAAATAACTTTCTTGCTTTGCTTCCATGTTTTCTCTATTAAAAAAATCCCTCCCCTGAGTCCTGTTGGTAGAGTTGTCCTGACCACCACTGGTTTGGGGCCACCTGCTTCAGCTCAGTATATGCTCAAATAGACTCTTGAGAAAAATGTTAATGTGTCTTCGTTTCCCTTTTTGACAGAGAAACCACTCCACCCAGGTTCTGCTTTATGCTTCTGCTTGGCCCTGTCTTGAATATTCTTTCTTTCTTTCCCAGCCACATTCTATTGACCAGCTCATATCAGATTCAAAATTCACCCTACTGCTCACAGAATAATACGTTGACGTGGAATCACACCCCTTCACCATCTGGCCTCAGTGACCTTTCTGAGAGCCAACCCTATTTTTCAGTCAACTGAATCCTGCCCATTCTCTGTGATTTTCTGTGGGGCCTTTGCTTCTGCTCCACCCTGCCAGGAATGTTCATTTTCTTTGCACTATTTCTATATTATCCAAGCCCTAGCTCAAAACCCCTCTTCCCCACAAAAATGGCCCCAATTCCCCAAGCTGAAAACAATCTCTTCCTTTTGTTGCTCTGCTTTGGTACATTATCTGCACTTCTCTAGGGACACTTAACAAGTTTACACATTTTGTCATAGTTAATTGTATACATAATTTTTCTCCCCTTTTAGACTGTAAGATCCCTGAGAGTGGAGAGCACCTGATTCGTTTCTGTTTGGTGGCTTTACAGTGCCTAACAAAATGCCTTGATAAGTGCTTGCTATAAATCCATCAGTCCATCAGCTGTATGTGCTAGGGAGAAAGACAGAAATGAGCAGGAAGAAAAGGAGAAAGGGCCCCCCAAAGATGACTCAGGGAGTTGATCAGATAGAGCCAAAGAGCCAGAAATGACTCAGAGAGTTAATCAGATGAAGTCACAGGGTCCAAGAGTGACTCAAGAAATGTCCAGGGTCTCCCCAGATAAGAAACATGAGAGGCACAGGCACAGCACAGTCCCTGTCCTCATTTCACCAATCAGGAAAAGCCTAGAGAGCTGACAGCTGTCAATCAAGGACCAGTCTGCCCTGCCAAAACCACATAAAAGAAGTCTCAGAATAAGCACCTGGACCTGTCTTAGGCAGCCCCGCTCTGTTACTCTGTGCAGAGTGTATTAAAACTTACTTTGCTTTCTTGACTTGATTTCTTGTCTCACTATATCTGACTTGCCTGCAACACCAAGCCAAGTTCTTTCCTTCCTAACAGATGGAAGGAAGATGACAGGCACTGGGAGTCTAGCTGGAATTTTTCCCAGTTGCCAGGACAGGAGAAAGGTGCACCTGTCAGGTGAGCAAGTCATTATAACTGTGGAAGAGAAAGAATAGCTTGAACAAATGAACCATGCTAGGGGCAAAATCAGGCTATCCACGTCACCTTTTTTTTATGTTTACCAGGCTGTGTCAGTAGGATAATATGAGTAACATAAAACTCAACTGAACTTCAAACTCACTTACCTGGTAAAGAACTTTATTGGCATGAATACAGGAAGTCAGAAGTAGAGGGAGAGATCAGGATTGGGGGTCTAGTGACTCTTTCCATTTCCCTACTGTCCTGTTCCCCAGTGCTGACTTCATCTTATAGCAAGTTCCCTGTTTGGAAGCCTTCTAGTAGTTATTGAGCTAACTGCCCCCTCTTCACATTCTGGTAACTTCCTATGGCTCTTTCTTAAGGATAAGGAAGCATATTTTCCAGAAACGCCTAGAAAATTCATCATGACTCAGTGCAAATTGGCCTTGGCCTGCCTATTCCAGACCCACTCACTGGCAGTGGGCATGGGGATTGTTCTCAGAGCACTTAGGTCCCAACTTGGTGCTGCAGTGGAACCCATGAGGAGGAATCACTACAGGACCCCATTACACAGCAGAGCGTTTTATGGGTACCACTCTTATTGAGGGTTGGCTCTTGTGACCTTATCATTTTAGATAAATAGTAAGCAATGGAAAACACATCATCCAAAAGGTCTCTTTGCTACAGGCCTCAGAACGTATCTGCTGGCCTAAGAGTCCTTCATGGCTCCTTGTGCAAATCCACTGGTTAATCAGTAGGGTTTGTTGATCACGTGCTGTTAGTGTCATTCTAAACAATGTGCAAAGTTAAAAAAAGGAAAGGAGATAGTGCGATGACTTTTTAAACAATAGAATGACTCTTGAGAGAAGTAGTTCTGTTTTAAGGACAATGTTAATTCTACTCAATTATTTTTCAGAATGTAGAAACTACTTGAATCTGTTGTTCCTTCCTTTGTTTTCTCTTACTCAACTCTCCCTTTTCTTGTTACTATTTCTCTCCTCTCTTACTCTTTGCTGTTTCAGGAAAGCAATATAGCAGAGATGAAGAGTGTGGCATTTGGCATTAGGCTTCCTGAGTGGGAATTCTGGCTTTGAGCCCAGCTGTGCTGTCCTAGACAATTACTTCATTACTCTAAGCTTTGTTTTTCATTGGTAAGTCATTCCTAATAATTATACCTACCTCCTTGTATGATGCATATTAAAAATTACAATAAGGATAACCATTTAAATTTTCTTCATCATTTGTTCTTTCAATTGTGCCACCACATTTTGTAACCTCTTCTTCCCTGCTAAATCCCAGAGTGAAAAATAGTTAGAAATAAAGTCAGAATAAAGTTACAAAATCAACTTTCCAGTGAGGAATGGAATGGAACTATTTCATTTCTTTCTTTTTACCTCATTTTAATTAGGGTATTTAAAGAATGCTGCAGGAATATAATTAAGGCAAAGATGAAAATGTGCAAAACCAGTTGAGAGGAACACATATGTGCTATGTAGGCAAGCAAGAGAATGAATGTTCTCATCCATGTAAGAATTGCTCGGTTAACCATTCCAGCTTCATCTAGGCCTGGTTTTCTCAATTGTTTAGAGTAATTTCTGATGAAACCAAGATCCTGGCCTTAATTCTAGAATGTGGTGACCCTGCTTTATCTATTTGATAGCTGCAAACTGTTCTCCTGACCCTGGCCAACCATCTGTAAAAGCATCCTTTGTTCCTAAGGTGATCAATTAGAGGAGAGGAGACTGACTGAAGCAGTGCCAGTCTATCAACTTAATAGGCAACAGCTGCAACTGAGGACACACGCTATCGTGACGGTGGGTTAATATTATGTTTGTATGTGAAAAGAACACAGACTGACACACTGTAGGGCTCATAGAAAACCAATAGGTTTGAAGCCATGGGTCCCACAGAAATTGAAACCTCCAACAAAGATTACTTCTGTGTCCCTTGCCTTCAAAGCTCCAGCTCTGCACAGAGGCTGTGTGGAGAACTGCCATCTACCACTCTGGACTAGACTAGCTAGACAGTTAACATTTTCTCTCCATACCAGTCACACATGCTTTTCCACTGATTCCTCTGCTTGGAATATTCTTCCTGTAGATGGGTACCTGTAGGGCTAGAACCATCACTTCTTTTAGGTCTTCATGCGGTTTACATATTTATCTTGTTTATTTTCTATCTTCCTGAAAGAAAGTAAACTCCCTACAGGAGGGTTGTGGGGCTGTGTTTTTAACTATATTATGCCCAGTGTCTAGTACAATGCCTGATGAATAGCTGGCTCTTAGCGATTATTTGTTGAATGAATGAATGACTTTGTGTAATTAATTGATCAAAGTGTATCAGATTTCCTTTCTAAAATGTGAGCTCCATGAGGCCAGAGACCAAGTCTGTTTTTTTCACACCTGTATCTCTAGAGCTGATCATAGTACCCAGAAGGCAGTACGTACTCAGTAAGTATTCCTTAAATAAATAATTGAAAAATCAATAATGCTGGTTTGACAGAAGATATTTACTAGAGGGAACATGGTAATGAAGATGTCTTCACAGCTGTGAGACTGCCTAAGCAGTTTCCACATTAACCTCAGAGTAACACAGGACATTGGTAGGAGTCACTTTTCATGGACCCTTAGGGTCTGACAACCTGAGGTGACACACAGTCCTATGTGGCAGTGGTGGTGTACCACACTTGGAGTATGGGTTCTAAAGTCAACACATAGTGCAAAAGCTGTATATAGAAAAAAGTTACCATTAAAAATTTCATAAATCACCCATACAGTACCGATCACATGGTTTTATGTATTCTGTGCCATCTCTCAGGAAGCTCAATACAGCCAGCTTTTCTCCAAAGTTGGAACAGATGGCCATGGCTGTTTCTTTGGTTGAGCACCAGATGAAGTAGTTGGCTTGAATTTAAGGACCATACTGTCAGAGGGAAGATTACATATATATATATGTATATGTTCATCTGTATTATTTTCTTTTGTTGAACATATAGTTGACATCAAACAACTTAAATACTTGGGTATGTGACTTGTTTGCTCCTCAGCGTTACCAGATATCCTTCCTTGTTTGTCACGGAGAGAGGTGTAAAGGAGGTGGAAGTAACTGTTGCAAAAGTTGGCATTACCAATAGGACAATGTCAACCATAATGATTTTCTGAATTAAAAAAAATAAAAGACTTTCATCTAAATTGTATACAGGCTCTAAATCTCTACAAAAAATAATGCAGACATGTGTAGAATGCCCACTATGTATGTGTTGGGTACCGTATTGTCTCATTGAACTGCCTCATAGCAACCCTTTGGTGCAGGCAGTGTAATGCCCCTGACCCTGCTGGGATTCTTCAGAACAGCCAGGCAGGCAGGCAGGCTTGGCTCACTGCCTGCAAGAACACACTTAGCTGTAGCCAATGATGGAGACACTCTGAGCCCAGAGTATGACACAAACATGCCCGTCCTTTTCTCTTGGGTTGTCTTTCATTTCACACCAAGCCTGCCTTACAGGGGTGCTGGAAAATCTTGCCCCCCACCCCACCCCACAAAAGTAACTAAGGTATTATCTATAAAAAAATAAAAAGTAATAAGAGTAAATCAGCTTGTTCCAAGAGTTCTGCATTATGGTGCTTACTTTACTGGTAGGGTTGGAAGATTAAAAATTCCAGTTAGATGGGAACTTATGAAGAATTACTTATAAACCAACTCATTTAAGGAGTGGAAAGAATGATGGTCACTTCCTTTGCTTCTCATTGGCACATTTGTTTCTACTAGTGTCCTATTTTCTACCATGGGTAAATTCTTTGCTTCAATCTGCTCTAACTGGAAAAAGTACTGGAGGGAACATGGTAATGCAGATGTCTAATATAGCACCCCCACTCAGACAAGCAGCACCAGAATATTCCAGCTTGTTCGTTTTTTACACCTCCTCATGTTTTTTCCTTAGCTTCTTTAGGTCTCACAGTTTCTTCCACAGCTCCTAAAAACATATTTAATGTTGCTCATTAGCATTGTCCATATTGCCATATATCTGTACCTTCTATCATTTTCCTTCCCTTTCTTTTCTATCCCTTCTTCATCCTACCACCACCAGCCATTGTGTTCAAACTGGGGACAAAGAACTCTACTTGGTCAGTGAAGCTAGGGAAAGAGCAAGGGGGAGGAGAGAGAGATGTGGCGATTCTACATCTCACATTTGTAGATGATGACAGTGGTTCTTGGGGACTTTAAGTGGCTTTTCCCATGTTATCCAACTAATAGCAGAGCTAGGAGTTGAACCAGGGTGAGTAAGGGTCCAAAACACTTACTGTTTCCATGACACGACCCTGCTTACCATAAGTGGCAAAATCTCATTAAATGCATGTGTTGGATAACAATGATGAAAAGACTTTGTGGAAACAGATGGAATATGATTTGCTGAATGGGTCTGATAGTGTGACTTTGGAAAGATGGACCAGATGAAGCGAAGGACTTTCCTGAGGTTGTCAACAGCATGAATGACCAATGTTTACTCTGTACATGGGACCATGATGGATGTTTTGAGGGAGACACATGGGTCCTATACGACCATACTCAAGAAACAGCCACACCATCGGAGAAGGGAAATGCAGTACCTTAGGGCCAGCAACAGTGGGATTTGATTACCCATCCCTGTGTGTGCAGGGACAAGGGGAAAGGGCACGGCATAACAACAAGAAGAGGAACTGTGACCTTCAGGAGAGAGGAGCATCCAACTCTTGGTGATCCATCAGGGAGAGAGTTACAGTAATAAATATGTCAACCTCTTTCTACTCTTCAGTCTCCTGGTGATGCTTCCCATTAGCTAATCCCAGCCAGAAGCTAGAGGGCAAGCACTGATTCCATCCATAAAGAAGAGTCTTCCAGGCACAGCAAGTAGTGAAGAAGGGCAGGCAGAGAGTGAGTCTGAAAGGGCAAATGAAAGATAATTTTATAAATTGGCACATCATTTAAGTGTACTATAGAGGTTGCTAATTACAAAAGTATTGCTGTAAATTATTTCCTGAAATAGTACCCTCTTTATGCACCTTCCATTCACAGTATCATTTTCATTTATCCTGACGTTTTCTTATTAGGTTAATTTCAAGTAAGATCAGCCCAAGTTAAATATTGAAATAGGTTGGCTTCCTGGCTCAACCAAAGTGAAAGGGAAGAGGAGCTTAAGCCTTTTGAATGAGCACATTCCAAATTGCATTGCATAAATAATGTTTGTGTTCAATTCTTCCATTTATTTTATTTCCCTCACTCAGATTTTTCTTCATCATTTTGTGTATCTTTCTTTCTTCCATTTTCGCTCTCCTTTCCTCTAATAAAAAGAGCTGCTTGGCTCATACCCCCATCAACAGATGCTTGGAAATAAAGCACCATGGCAGAATTTCAAGGATTTTTCTCTTCCTCCCCCCACAGAGGAAACCAAAAGGGTAAGGATGGCTTGAGGGGTTGGATCAGACTGTTATTTTTCTCGAATTTGCAGCTCTTTCTGGATTCCAGAAGTCACTGGAAAGAAACAGTGCACTCTGGGACTGAAGGAAATGGTTTGGCTCCAATCTGTCCTGAGTTATCTGGGGAGGAATTTTCTCATTGTTACAGAGGTGGCTACTCAATGAAGATTTTACATCTTTTCACAGAGAGTGTGTGTTGGGGGAGAGGCATGTGAAATTCACATATGACAAGAGCAAAAAAGAGAAGGTAAAAAATAACTAAACTTTGCTTAGGACACAAACCATTTTCTGGGCTCTGGCCTAGATGTGTAGCTCATGAATGCTTCACCATGTATTTCTAAGAGCCAGAGGGCTGGGTGAGTCAATAAGATTTCCTTTTTTACCCAGCAGGCAAAATAAAGATGGGGTTTATATAGTCAGGTGGATCTAACTGATGAATGAATGAGTGAAAACAGTCTAGTGGAAGATTTTCAAATTATGTATATGTAGGAGACTCATTCTGGCTTCTCATCAAGCATGAAAGGCTAGATTTATATGCTTGAGTATTGCTGGCTTTACTATAGCACAAATAAATCTATATATACCTTTGGCACTCAAATGTATGTATTATTGATACTACTTGAGGAAGCCTCTGAAACCCTGTTTTCCTCCCTGGGTACTATCCTTGCCATAAATTCTGTAATCTCTGCAGTTAGGCAAAGCTCAGGCTAAGGGGGTAGCTGTGGTGACATACCCGACATTCATTCCACCTAACTGGTAGACCTATCTATCTATGCTGGTTTACTTTTGAGTTCACGTATATTCCCCCTTGGTGATTTTTTACAAAGCCAGTACTATAGATTGAATTGTGTGCCCCAAAAGATAATGAAGTACCAGTACCTATGAATGTGAACTTATTTGGAAATAGGATATTTGCAGATGATCAAATTAAGATGAGGTTAGGGCAAGCTCTGATCCAGTGACCTTATATAAAGGAAAAATTTGGACATAGACATGCATAAACAGAAGACACTGTGAAAACACAGGAAGAAAATAGCTATCTACAAGCCAAGGAATGCCCGAGGCCACTAGAAGCTAGAAGAGAGACAACAAATAGATTCTCCCTAACACCCCAGCCCTGCACCACCTTCATTTTTCGAGTCCCAACATCCAGAGTTGTGTTTCAGCCACCCAGTTTGTGGTGCTTTGATACAGCAGCCCCAGGAAATGAATGTAGGTAGGTTTGATAAAATCTTCTGGTACAATCCTTTAGTTTCTTCAATGAAGAAACTGAAGTTTAAAAGTAAAATGGTCAAGTATAAAAACCAAATGAATACTCATAATTGACCTGATTGTTTATAGTTCATGATGCGTGATCAAAACCAAAAGTTTCTGTGATGACTGCCCTTGCACTGTTCACCATGTAAGAACTTATTCACTATGTAAGAACTTGTTTGCCATGTAAAAACTTGTTCATTATGCTTCAGAAGATTGGAGACTGTTGAAAATTAGGCATGGGGGTGATTAATGATTGTGCATTGAGTCCCCTATACAGAATTTTATTGTTGTTAACAACCATATGATCAATAAATATGAGAGATGCCCTCTCAAAAAAAAAAAAAAGTAAAATGGCTTACGCAATCACAGAGTCAGTTGAGGGTAGAGCTCTAAATCCCAGTTGTCCCCCTACCCATTGTTATAACTGGGCTGATGTGGGTAAATTACAACAGCCTTCTACTCTTGGCTCAGGAGGATGGAGAAATGGCACTCTACGGTCTAATATATACACTACTAGACTTCAGTGGCTTGAAACAAGACTTTGGTATACTTGAAAAGAGGTAACTACCTGGGGCACTCCTTGGGACTATCAAGGATAATTTCACCAACATCTGGTGGCTTCTCTTACAAGAACCTGAAGTTCTGGTGCAGTGGTTGAAGCTTCTGAACCAGGCAAAGTTGGAAATGGTGAGAGGGACAGAGTAGGAAGAAACTCAGCCTGCCTGCCCTATTCCCGTTCAGCTTCTCCTACGACCCAGTATCCTGCCTGCTGCTGTCCTTCCTGGGTGGTGGGGAATGGCAGGGTCTAAACTCCCCACCCCTGACTCTCTTCCTCTTCTGGTTCTTATTTGGAACTCGCAGTGGCCAGTCCCCAAGCTCTCATCTGACAGTGGGTGGGAGTCAATCTTTTTGCTTTCTTATGCTCTGAATGCCAGCACAGCCTATACTTCATACATCTTCCTCAGATTTCACCACTTCATGCCAGAGAGGGGGTTTGTAACTGGATTCAAATTGGGAAATGTATCCTTCAAGCCACTGTCATCAGGTTTTGGTGAATGAATCAAGGAGGAATACTACACACTCAAATGTTCAATTGAAGTACAAGACTTTAAGCCAAAAGGACATGGACAACTTCTTAGAGAAGATTAGATTTTATATGCCTGCATGAAAGTTTCGGTTTGGTGAACCTGAAAAGTAGAGAGGAATTTTGGTGAAGTGTTGTTCTGGGAGGAGAGGGTTCCCAACCTGGTGCAGGTTCCCTATGAATTAGATGAGACCGAAGAGAGGCAAGGACATGAAGTGGGGAATCTTAAGGGGATTTATTCTCATGGCAGTAGGTCCCAGTGTCTCCTCACTCCCCGATCTTCCCTGCCATGTGCCCCTTCGTGAGCCCCTAGCACTGGCAGGAACTCTGTGGATGAGTCTCTGTTGACTGGAGGATGTCTGACCACTTATGCCCCAGGAACTGAGAGGAGGAGACCTCCCCTGGGCTGGTACTCCCATAACAGACCAGTGACTCTGTCGCTGGTAAAGATCCCATATATGTGCAAACAGGCTCTTATTATATAGACAATGGGCACTATTAAGGCGAGATGGGAATCCTGGTCAGAAAGTTCCATTTTCTCCACAAGGGGTTAGTGGGGGGCAAGAAAAGAAGGAAAGAGCTGTTTGATCACTACCTGATCTAGGTTGAATCCCTACAGTTAAGGGCAGAAAGCTGACCCAACTGAAAGTGCCTGTGAGATTGTGCCAACACACAGATCTTCTTTAGGAAGGGCTGCACTACAGCTTTCAAGGGCCTTTTGGGTAAAAATGCAGTATTTTCAGAACCTGCCACCTGGCTTTAGTGCATCTCCATACAAGGGGTGTTTCCAGAGGGTGGAGAGTAGTAGTCCATCCCCATATCAATAGGTAATTACAAGGACAAGTGAGGCTTATCTAAACTGGAGAGATTGGGTGGGGGCTTCTTATTCTGCAGCCTGGTCGTGAGGCACAGGGGAGCAAAAGTGGACCACTGCTTGTAAGAAATCAACTTTATTTCTGCCATTGATTAATTTTGGTTTAAAGGTATTTTGCCCAGGAACTTTCCCCCAGAGTTACAACTGGCATAGTCAGCAGGATCTCTGAACCCAAAATCTGTCTACATGGGTGTTAATCTTGGGCGGGCTGCCCCTAGAGATGGTGGGAAGATGTCCGGAACACCCCCTGTGGATAGTGGGGAGGCCCCAGTGGCTGCAACAGTAGAGGGTAAGGCTTCGCCTGGGAACCCCCTACCTTTGGGGCTTCCAATTAGGGAGCCTCTGGTGGGGATATGGTCTAGCCTAAAGCACCTCCTAGAGGAGTAGAACCTTCCCCAGAAGTGGGGAAGGGTGGAGACACCTGAAGCTGTGGAATTAGCTCTCCATGAGATAGAAGGCTGTTTAGAGGCCTTCTATCAGTGGCCTCTGAGTGGCTGTGTAGCAGCTGTGACTGTACGATCTCTTTCCTTGAGATATGTTACTGAGGAGAGAGAAAGAGAGAGAGACTTCGGCAGGAGAGAGACACAATTCAGAATCACTTGGAGGAGTTGGGCGATAACCTATGGGATGCCCTTCAAGAAGAGAGACAGTTATTGAGAAGATGGGTCGCACTCCTGGAAGATTCCTTAGCAACAGTTAGGGAGGAGACATGAGTAGAATCCATGTTGCAGGAAGCGGTGGAGGAAGGGGAGGAGTGGTACCTTCAGCCCCGGAGATGGCAAGGGAGGTATGGGGAGAGGATGAGCGGGTAGGGCCGGGGGCCGAGCCGAGGCCACAGATGGTGGTACCAGCCTCTCCTGTATTAAAAGCCCACTCAGTTGTAATTAAAAAAATAAAAACACAACCACCGCAGGCTCCTCATGGGGAGGAGCAGCCCCCTCCCCAGGTTGTGGAGCACTCCATGCTCTGCCCCTATACACAGGATGAGCGGGTGGACATGAGCATCCAGTATAGGCAGAAGCCAAGGGAACCTCTGTCTACATGGCTTTTACATCTCTGGGATATGGGGGTGGAAAACATGTGATGTCAGGTTCTGAAATGAGTACACTGGCTTCCTGACGACTCACCACTCCCTCCCGCAGTGGTTGCAAAGTGCCCATCATACCTCAGGGAATCAGGTGCTTCTGGATTGGCTGACAGCAGCCATCAGGGCAGTTTGGCCTACTCAGGGTGATTTGCCATACTTACC